TGTTACTTCACAGAGAAACTGTAGTTGTTAGGGAATGATACTTTAAAAATTATTCTATAATAATTCCACGTACCAATGTGCCGTGTTTTGGCGGTATAAAAGATTCGATCAAAACTACTTTTACGAATTTTATTGCGTTTATTTTTAATTGATTTTTAATTCCCGACGTTTTGGGTACTTTCCAGCACCCATGGTCATGGGGCACTGAGGTGACTGGCATCCCGATGTCAATGTTAACCCAGAGTACCTTCAGCTTTTTACTAATTAAAATTCCCGAAATAAAAAGTTTATGGTCCGAACTATGCAGAATGAACTTACTCTGTCTTGAAGTCTTGCAGTGGTATGCTTGGGTTTAGTTTTATTTTTTTAATTACGGGGTCCCAAACAGGTGATGGTACCCAGCCTCATTCTCTATTGAAATTAGAATGTTTTTTTTAATTTCAATAGCCTCACGTATGATCTTTGGTATGAATCGATGTTTTTTCGCGAATATTTGTAGTCTATGAAATTTAAAGTAATGTTTGGGGCTACCTAGTATATGATCAAAAACTGCTGACTTCCCAGAACGTTGATGCTTTACGTTAGCTATATGTTCTTTTTAGAGTTACTACTCTAAAATTCAATTTACTACGGAGTTAGAGGCAAATAATTCCTTAGCTGTCTTAGATTTCTTAGTCATGGATACCCGAGACGAAGATACTAAAATCGGTATATATTATGTATATCTTACAGATATGAGGTAAAGAATGCTGTTTTCTAACAAAATTCTTTAAAATAAAATTGTAGCATGGACCGTTCTTTTAACTTTTTGCCTGAGCGTGTTGAGCTTGTATTACTTCGTAATTTCCACTCGTTTTCCTTTTTTGCTTAAATTTAAAATAAATTATTATTTTTTAGAAAACTTCACGATACAGCCGGCGTCACGCATATATAATCTGTACAAATTTACATAGGTACCTAAGTTCTTTTGTTTTGAACATAGATACTTTATTACAAAATAACTTTGAGCGTTTATTTGGAAAGTAGTAATAATTTTATCTTAAATCTATTAATATTATAATCACAATATGGTGTTCATTTTAAGCATTAATTTTTTTTTATAATGCGGGACCTCACAAAGTAAAACTGAATTACCGAAATAATTAGTGAAAAAAAAAACTGGCCAAATTGGTGGCAGTGGTGGCGGGCCACGCATAATGTAGAGGTAGAGTTTCCTAGTTGCCCGTCACAATACATGGGCTTTCTTGATAAATGAACATAATAAGTGAGTTCGCGGTTTGACCGCTGTGACGACTAAAATGGGTCCAAATAGAATGATGGTAACTGAAGGGCTTATTTTCAAATCAGACTTACTATTTATTATATACTATATTTTATTATTATATTCCAAGTGGTATTTAAAAAAGATTAAAAAAAAACTTTTAGATTTTGCAAAATAATACAATTTACATCAAATCATTCACATGCCTAATTCGTGGAAAGATGGTCATACTTGAATATCTTTCTACATATATATTCCCGGCAGTGCAACCCTAAGATAAACAATGAGCGTAACGCACTTTCCCGTAAACCATCACTACCCTATATTATCCTGAGGGCCGCCCGCGTAAACTAACAGTATTACGAGTGAAACTGGATGAGGCTCTTTGATTGTACGAATACTATGAATGAGATCTACAATAAATACCAATTAAAAAATAAGCGAATGTAATAAGTAAATAAGAAAAATCCTCCCCGACTATCCCTCAAATAAAAAAGTAAAGCTATAGTAGGAATGTACTTAGTCAGGTCATAAGTTCTGTCAAAAACTTTTTATAAAATTAATGATACACTTTTTGATAATTATGTAGAAATCATAAATAAAATGAAAGGTAATTAAATTTAGAATACAATTTTATTTACATTATTCAAAATGCCCTCCATTACTTTAAATACATGCCCTTAATCGGCGTGGTCAATCATCAAATGCAGCACGCACCACACTCATATCAATTTCTGCCGTTGCTTTAAAGATAAAAATTAAAGATGCTCGGAGAGATTCTAAAGTCTCGGTTTAGCGCAGACTTTCTCACCAAATGTTGCCATGTTTTATAATCCAGTGAGCTTAAATATGGACTAGAAGAGGGACAGTCTTCATGTCCGATAAAGTCAATTCCATGGATGGTCAACCAGTTTTGCGTACTTCTTGCCCTATGAGCTGGTGTAGAGTCCTGTTGGAATTTGATGAAATGATGATGATGAATGATCCTGTTGAAATTGTGACCTATAGACATCTATATCTATCCTCTAATAAGAACCTAAATGCAAATGCGTTGTAACCTCTGAGTATGGAATACCTCGTATCCAATACAAAGGGTCTCCAGTTCTCAAAATTTACCATAAGACATTGCAGCATTTTACTGATATTTTATGCTGGTATTTTGTGAGAATGAGGTCCTACCTTGGTCGAGTCGACCCATTCGTCCTAAAACCATAATATAACTGCAACATCTCTACAACTCTCTTTAATGACAAATACCTGTACACATCTGTGGACTTTGAAATAGTTTTGCGAACTTAAAGATGCCAAAGAAGAAAACAATAAAATAATATAATATTGCTAACTATTCAAGTAATAATTTGCGTCTGTGAAATACATGCGTTTTGTTTGTAGGTACAATTATCAAAATAGAACCATGAAATGTCCAAATAATATTTAACGAAATGGAGATAGATGGACGGAAGAGTAATCGTGTAACACAGACACTTTAATTTCTTACACTTTATAAAAAGACAACATTTTTACTAGGTGTACTACCCTCTTACATATTTCTTGCTGTGCATCGTGTGGTAAGTATAGAAAACCGGAGACCCATTTTACTGGAAGAAAGACATTCAATCTTAGACCTCAAGGCGATAACGTATCTGCATTTGTAGGTTTAATCAAAGACAGGTGTAGATATCTATAGGCTACAGTATTTAATAACTATTAGGTTGACCTATGTGATTGTTTGTCACCCTTATACTATTTTTTTTAATAATATTTGAATGACTTCTGTACCCCGCTTCAAAGAAATACAGCAACAGACACGTCGTCCTGATAACTAAGATACAAAATAATTATTTTGTACCAGTATTCTATAGTATGCATTTGGGTGAGATAAGACGGGAATCACATGTCTTAACGCCTAATCGGACAACCAGGCGATCGGCGGGTCTTTATATCTTTGTTGTCGATGTTCCACACCTGTAACGGTACGCATGTAATCCAAACATGCTTGTGTGTGTGTGCGTTTGTATATACACACACGCATGTACCTCATTGTCTGTACTTCCTATAATGAATATTCTTTATGTTCAGTGAATATTCCATACCTTATTCCGTAATTCGATAAGATTTTGTAAGTTCACGCATTCTCAAAATAATTTTTTTAATCTAACGAAATAAATGCTTAAGTTGAAGATGATACTCTAATATTCATAGTCTTAATAACTAATTATTACCACTTTTTAATAAATACTCAAAGTTTTTTTTTTAAATAACGATTCTATAATCAAACCAAAAGCACCTACGAATGTAAATTAGTACAAATTATATATGGAGAGGGCTATGCTCGGGGTTTCTCTTTGTGATAAACTTAGAAATGAGGATATCTGCATTAGAACCAGAGTGACCATCATAGCCAAACGGAGTAGTAAGGTAAAGTGGCAATGGGCCGGCCATATAGCTCGAACAACCAACAACCATTGGGGAAAAAAAGTTTCTCGAGTGGCAGCCTCGTACCGGTAGGAGAAGTGTGGGGCGACCTAGATGGAGTGACCTGGTACGACATGCAGGAAGTCGATGGATGCAGGTGGCTTAGGACCGTGCTTTGTGGCTTTACTCGGGGGAGGCCTATGTTCAGCAGTGCGCTCGTGAAGGGCTATAATGATGATGATGATGATATATGCATGACGCAGCTGGCGTCAAGTTCGTGAATCGTCGTCGTCATCATGAAGTTTTCTTGATAAACATTTATGAGAATAATTTTAATAATTTAAACAAGAAAAGAAAATGAGTGGAATTTAGTAAGTAATACAAGCTCAAAACGCTCGGGCAAAAAATAAATGTGGGGTGGTCTGCCGACCGAAATTATTCCTGTAGTCGTCTCTGCAAACGGGTTAATCCCAGTCAGCCTCTCGGGTCATCTGAGGCGGCTAGGACTACGTGGCGGACCGCTCCAGGTTCAAATGCAGAAGGCGGTGCTCCTCGATACCGCCCGCATCGTCCGCCGGTTTCTTTCCCTTCCCCCCTAACCCTCGGCCGTTTGGTCTCCCCTGCCGAGGGCCTCCATCTGGTTGGGCTTTTATTTATTTATATACTTTTATATTTATTTTATGTTATTGATATTTATGTATATTTATTTTTTCATTTTCATTTATAATTATATATTTATAGAACCCAACCAGATGAGAAAACTATATAGATACCCCATAATAATAATCTTAAAGGCGTATGGAAGTGAAGACCCCATCGCCCGCTGACGTAACGGTTATGTGACAAAACCGGTACGTCAGCGCAGTCAGTCAGCACCTTGTCGAGAGGTGTTAGTGCCGTGCCTCGGCAAAAATTGAAGGTGCAAAGACCCGCGTGTGCACATGGCCTCACCATGAAATGGCGCCGGGTCTGGGCGTCTCCCGCTAAATGACGCCCACCACTATGGATGATGGAATACGGAAGAACGCGCAAAGGGCCGCTGCCTGGAGGTCGCCAGGGCGCGTCTGGAGCTGGCGCTGGACGCGACAGCATGCGAACCGCCAGCCGAGCGCGAGGTGCTGCACGAACACCCAGCAGCCCCTAGCATCCATCATCCCCACCAGCTGGTTTGGTGTCGGCAGGGTCTTCGCGGGCCCAGCAATCGGCACCCGCCACTGGTGGAGTACGCCTCATGCGTTGGACAACCCAGATGAACAGCAACGCATTGCGGGCGTATTTTAGGGCGAAAGGGGGAGAAACTGGAGGTTTTGCGTGTCAGGCAAGGATGCATCGACTTTTTGCTGAGCTGGAGCTATCTGTAACCGTCACCGAGCAAAACCTGGCAGACCGAGTTCGGTATATCTTGCGCTCAAATACATTTGATGTCACCGAACTCGAACGGCTACGACGTGAGGCTGTTCCTTCATCGGGTGAAAATGCTGCGGCTGAGGATGCGGCGCCACAACTTGCTGAGCAAACGGGAAATGTGGATGCCGCCGTGAATACGCCAGTTGTGGTTGATTCAAACGATGACGGAACAGTCGCCCAGGAACTGTAACTAGAGCAAATGAGGAGTACATTGGAGGAGGCGATTGTGGAAACGCGCAGTACGCCTCTCGAAAATCGACCGCGACTTCCCTGCTTAGCCCTAAGCAAGCGGAATCGGGCTGTCGTGAGGGCTCTGAACCCAATGCTGGTTACCTACTTGGAAGCCAGCCGGGACCTTTGCGAGACGGACTCAATTATTTTTGGCGCCGCACTGGCAGTCTGCCGTATTATAGGCGCCAAACTTTCCACGGCTGGACGCGCTACTGGACAAAGTAGTGCTATCCCAGCCTGGAGAATAAGAATTGAAGAACGTATCGCAAGGGCTAGGGCCCTCATCGGCAGACTGATATGCTTCAGGTCAGGCAATACCAGGCCAAGGATTGTGCGCACCGTCAGGATGGCGTTTGCTGGGACAAATGTTAGTTTGTCCCAGCCGGATATAACGCAAAAACTGACGGAGCGCATAGACGACCTGAAGCAAAGAATCGCTGCTTGCGGAAAGCGGATTCGGCAATATACCGAGAGGTCGACACGGTTCAACCAGAATCGTCTCTTCCAGAGTGATCAGGAGAGGCTCTACAAATCATTGGAGTGACCAATAGTAAGTGGAACGGGCCCAGCACCAAATCAGGCCGATACGGTCGCATTCTGGCGCAGCCTGTGGTCAGAGCCCGTAAACCACAACGAGGGCCTTTGGACGGAAGTTGTGGCGAGTCAGTGTGCGGGTATTATGCAAATGGACCCCGTCATCATAACGCCGGATGACGTAGCTGAGGCGGTCCGTAGGGCCCCGAACTGGAAAAGTCCGGGGCTTGACGGGCTGCATCACTACTGGCTGAAGGGGTTCATGGTGTGTCACGCTGTGCTCGCCCGACAGTTTCAAGAGGCTCTCAACCAGAAGTCGCTCCCAAGCCTCTTCACTACTGGGATCACTCATTTGGTTCCTAAAGATCAGGGTGCTACAGACCCGAGCAAATACCGCCCCATCACGTGTCTACCGACTATATACAAGACACTAACATCCATTTTGAGCGCGAGAATCGCTCGTCACCTGGACTCAAATCAGGTGATATCGCGCGCTCAAAATGGATGTCGGGGCGGCGGTCGTGGAACCAAGGAACCACTCCTCATTGACGCGGTCATTGGCAAAGTGGTGAAACGCAACCGTCGGAACTTCTCCGCCGATTGGATAGATTACAGAAAGGCATTTGACTCGGTGCCCCATACATGGCTAAAGAGGGTCCTCGAGGTGTACAAGATTGACTGTACAGTTCGAGACTTCCTCGGGCAGTGTATGGGGCAGTGAAGTACGATCCTCTGTCATCTGGGCAAGCGGATGACGGCTGCGGAAAGCCGCATAAGGAGAAGAAGGGGTATATTCCAGGGCGACTGTCTGAGTCCAATCTAGTTCTGCCTCTCTTTGAACCCTCTCAGTACTTTACTGGAGGGCTCTGGGAGGGGATTTCAGCTTCGGAAAAGAGGTACAAAAGTGACCCACCTTTTCTATATGGATGACCTCAAATTATTCGCCTCCAGTCGCTCCCATCTTATGGAATTGCTAAACATTACTTGTGAATTTAGCAATTCTATTGGAATGGAGCTGGGGACGGATAAGTGTGCGGTCCTCCATGTTGAAAGGGGAAGGGTTGCTAACTCTGAGGGCATAGACTTATCTATGCCCGTCAACTTAAGGGCCCTTTCCGAGGCTGAAACATACCGATACATGGGTATGTCACAGAACATCGGTATCGATGAGGCTGGTATGAAACAGTCAGTTTGCGACGTGTTTTATGCACGCTTGACCAAAGTGCTTAACAGCCTTTTGTCCGGTGTGAATAAGACACATGCATATAACGGTTGGGTTATGCCTGTCCTCATGTATACCTTTGGCATACTCAGGTGAAGTCAGACTGAACTTAACGCCCTGGATAGAAAAGTCCGCACTACAATGACGTCCCATAGGATGCATCATCCGAGATCGTCGGTAATGAGGCTGTACTTGCCGCGAAAGCATGGTGGGCGTGGCTTCCTGAGCCCGCTCACCATGCATAATATAAAAAATAAAAAAAAGCAGTACAAACATTTAAAAATAAATATAGAACACAATTACTGCAAAGTCAGATTGACTTTGATCAAAGTTTATAACGCTTTGCACGATTACGTACCTCATCGTCGTAGATTATTAACAACTGAGCATTAAAATCGTCCTCTAGAATGCGGCTTTTGTCTTCTTATGTACATACTTTTATATTCTTCAATAATTACATAGTGTAGTATATAGCCCTATATAGTATTTTAATAATCTCCCCCTTTTTGTAGTGTTCGTATAGTCATAATTCTGTTAAAGCATAATAAAATAAGTATACATATAGCACTGATTTCGGTAAGTCACTGGTTGGACACACCGAAAATCAGCGCCATGGAAAAAAAATTCATGGCATTATGCTGAGTGTGCTCCTGTTCCCAGATGACGCCTTGACATATACTAGTATAGGTATTGTATAGTTTGTAATATGTAGTATATTGTAATTTGTATTGTATAGCCAATATTATTTGTAAATTATGTGTTTTTTTATGTTATCTGTGATGGCGTCATTTTGGAGAATAAACCTTGCTTTCTTTCTTTCTTTCTTTCTTTCTTTCATAATCGCGAAGTGTGCAGCCTCCGTCATTACTTCCTGGCGAGATCGGATGATCCATTCTATAATGACGTCATTTCTAGTGAGAAAGGACTTACCCCTCTATCCTTAGCCAACGAGCAATGGCAAGACCCGGCAGTACAGAGCATTTCCGACCGGGAGACCGTATGGAAGGAGAAGGAGCTCCATGGGAGGTACTACAGGGCTCTACATGAGCCTCACGTAGATACAGCCACCTCCCTCAACTGGCTACGTTTCGGTGACCTCTTCGAGGAAACCGAGGGTTTTGTCTGTGCAATACAGGATCAGGTTATTAAGACCAACAACTATCGGAGATACATCCTAAAGGATGGCACTGTCGACGTCTGTCGAGCTTGTCGCCATCCCGGGGAGTCACTTAGGCATGTCATCTCCGGTTGTTCGGCGCTTTCTAACTCTGAGTACTTGCACAGGCACAACCTAGTAGCCAGAATTCTACACCAGGAGCTCGCTCTGAACGGTCTGTACGGTCTCGTGGACCGGAAATTGCCGTATTACAAGTACTTGCCGGAAGCCGTGCTCGAAAATGACCGTGCCAGGCTCTACTGGGACCGGGCCATCATCACAGACAGGACTATTCTTGTGAATAAGCCTGATATTGTACTGATGGACCGGGCACAGTCAAGGATATTTTTGATCGACATTACCATTCCGTATGACGAGAACCTCGTGAAAGCCGAAACAGATAAACAAACAAAATATCTGGACCTGGCTCACGAGGTGACCGACATGTGGGGTGGTGTGTCGACCGAAATTATTCCTGTAGTAGTCTCTGTGAATGGGCTAATCCCAGTCAGCCTCTCGGGTCATCTGAGGTGACTGGGACTCCGTGACGGACCGCTCCGGGCTCAAATGCAGACGGCGGTGCTCCTCGATACCGCCCGCATCGTCCGCCAGTTTCTTTCCCTTTCCCCCCTTTCCCCCTAACCCTCGGCCGTCTGGCCTCTCCTGCCGAGGGCTCCCATCTGGTTGGATCTTATTTATTTATGTAGTTTTTGTATTTATTTTATTTTATTGATATATATGTACATTTATCTTTTCATTTTTAATTATAATTATATATTTATAGAACCCAACCAGGTGAGAAAATTATACAGATACCCCAATAATCTTTATTGATAAACATATTACATGCACCAAATTTACAGTGGTCATTAGCTCCTAAACTAGTATATTATATCTGTATTTCAGGGACTGGTTTCCTTCTCTATTCTTACTTCTATTTCTATAATTTGAATATTACAATCTGATACTTTTTTTTTGCACACGGTGTGCAACTCCAACTGAACTGGCCGTATTACAATCTGATACTTTTTTTTTACTACATAAGACAATGCTTCACTACAACCCCACCTGAAAGTGATATATTCACAAAATACACCGACAATAGTATCTTCCTCATGTCATTCAGCTCATAATAGTCCAATGCTGTAGATAAGTCTCTCCTACCTAACTTTGACTGCCTTGACGGTCTAGTTGTCGTAAGCGCGGTTGCTGATCATGAGGTCGTGGGTTCGAACCCCTGGTGGAACCAAAATTAGGTATTTGGGTTTTCTGTTCAAAAATTCTCAGTAGCAGACCGGATCGGTTCGTATTAAATAGGTTATATTTCAAGGTTGTTCTTACATAAATTTGGAGAATAAATTCCACCCCTAAGGTGTGCAAAAAAAAGGTTCCTTTTTAGCAATTTGAAGTCGGTTTTCACTTTTTTGTAAAATGCTATAATTATTTACATTGAAGTCGGTTGCAAAAAATTTTTAATTTGTTAAATGAAAATTGTGTAGAATAATGTGTTTTTTTATTTTAAAATATGGAATAATAATGTAAACAAAAGTATCATTCTCATATAATGATAAACTATATGGCCTATAGGTCTATTGATTTATGTAAAACCGAAATAAAGATTTCAAGAAGAGGTATTAGCAATAGAAAATTTCTAGTAGAGTACTGAAAGAACTTAAAAAAAAAATAAACAAAAGTTTACGACGTTTACACTGAGATGGTTTTAGAGCAAGGAATAGTCCGCCGCGCTGCCTCAATGCGTGTTGGCGTACTTCACATATCGTCGAAATATTTTTTTTCTTATTTCTCAGACATGCAGGTTTCCTCACGATGTTTTCCTTCACCGCCGAGCACCTGGTAAATCAGCACTTAAAATTGCAACTAACGATTTATATATACATACATATATATATATATATATATATATATATATATATATATATATATATATATATATATATATAAATTACGTGTCACGTTGTTTGTCTGCGATGGACTCCTAAACAACTCAACCGATTTTAATCAAATTTGCACACCGTGTGCAAAAAAAAGTATCAGATTGTAATATTCAAATTATAGAAATAGAAGTAAGAATAGAGAAGGAAACCAGTCCCTGAAATACAGGTATTATATCCTAGTTTAGGGGCTAATGACACTTTAAATTTGGTGCATGTAATATGTTTATCAATAAAGATTATTGGGGTATCTATATAATTTTCTCACCTGGTTGGGTTCTATAAATATATAATTATAATTAAAAATGAAAATATAAATGTACATATATATCAATAAAATAAAATAAATACAAAAACTACATAAATAAATAAGATCCAACCAGATGGGAGCCCTCGGCAGGGGAGACCAGACGGCCGAGGGTTAGGGGGAAAGGGAAAGAAAAAAAAAAAAAGGGATTAGCCCATTCACAGAGACTACTACAGGAATAATTTCGGTCGACACACCACCCCACATGTCGGTCACCTCGTGAGCCAGGTCCAGATATTTTGTTTGTTTATCTGTTTCGGCTTTCTCGAGGTTCTCGTCATACGGAATGGTAATGTCGATCAAAAATATCCTTGACTGTGCCCGGTCCATCAGTACAATATCAGGCTTATTCGCAAGAATAGTCCTGTCTGTG